AACTTAACTTATCTTTATAAAAGAATATGTAGATAAAAAAAGTGTCGATATATGCCTTCATTTTTCTTAATAGTTAAAGTTAAAACTGAACTTTTTAAAATAAAGTATTTATCGTGTCATTTTCACCAACTAGCAAAACATTTTTATAAGTTTAAAATGGTATTTTTTTAATATAATAACCAGGAAAGTTTTTTTTGAACTATGTTTATGAACGGAAATAATGTGTTAATTTCGTAAAGTTTGAAGGCTAATAACCAGAAAAAGTCTAACTTATTTTTACAAGAGAAAGATGCAAAGTTATCAAATCTTTGCTTGCGATCTCCGAGATCTGTAGACACAGTGACGTCATGAGGAGGGAAATCGTAGCTTCAGCTCTAAGAGCGGAGTGAACTAGCCCTTGTATTCTCTTTAGCCCTGGGTCTAGGCAAGCATCATAATGGTCACAGATCTCTCCATATCTTCGAAAGAGGTACTTAGATTACAGTCAAGTACAGGAATGAAGCGCCTGGTCATATAAAGCATCTCTCCCTTCAGCAACCCTACAGGATCTGAAAACAGCGTTGCTGAAAGAGTGTGACCAATTCTTACCGAAACTCGACGGGAAGCCTAAATAATAGTAAGAGAGGACTATACCTTCTATGAACCTAATTGTTATATTCTGGAACTTTTGTTTCCCAGGTATTACAAACGATTCTTCTTTGTCAGCGCAGCAGCCAGTTCCAGGCCTTGGCTGCCTCAACAGATGATGAACCCCAGCGCCTCCTATCTATGGCAACTCCCTTCCAATTTCTAATCTTTAAGGTTTTTAAATCATTCTTGATGTCGTTGAGCCATCTGGGACTTGACCCCTCGGGGTTCTTAAAAGTGACTATTCTCATGGAGCTATTTTCAGGATTTCTCCATAGATGGCCCAGCTATGTCAGCCTATTACTGCAAATCATTTGTGAAATTTGGGGCTGCTTGTATAGACGGTAGAGCTCGAAGTTATATCTGGTTCGCTAGCATCCCCTTTCTTGAATTGCGCCAAAGATAACTCTAAGGATTACAAACGATTACATTTGCTTATTGCCGGCCAGGTGGCCGAGCGGTTAGCGTGCCTGACTGCGAAGCCATAGGCTGCGGGTTCGAATCCCTCTCTGGGCATGGATGTTTCTCTCTCTGTGCTGTCTTCTGTTGTGTGTGTGCGTATGATGTGTGAATATGGCCCACCCTATAAACGGGTTTGTGGCAGTGTGGAGTGGGCAATGTTGCTCGCCTCCGTGACTTTGGTTTACAGGTGCCCACTGGGTAACGCGAAATGAGCAACAATTCTGACATAGTATAGGCAAAGATTCAAATTCAGTGCCTGCCATTGGGGGGAAAAACATTTGTTTATTATAACTATTGTATTATGTTTATATTAAATCAACCTATGTTCATACCAAACTTTTTTAAAATCTGTATTGTACTTTTAGAAATAATTCGCCAAACCTGTGATTTCTTTAAATTTTAAACGCCAGTGAATATTAAGGGCGTACTTATGGACTTCCCTGTATATTATAAGCTTGTAACCAAGAACTGTATTACTTACTAATGAAAAGTCTGTACCCCTGACACTGATAACGCTATCCATTACAGCACTGCATGCTTCCCTAATGGGGATTAGGGGTCTGTAGTTCCACCACGGGATCTGTGGAGTCTGAATTCTCTTCCTTTGATGTAGAGTGGTAGTAAAGAGATGAGATAGCAGCAATGATAATTTTTCCAAAGGAAATTGTTAATTGTCTGAAGACATTTTGAATTAGCCTCAAGTTAGGTGTGACCTAGATTGCCTGGCTATTAGGGCGCTGGCCCCATGTCCGATAGGTCGTGAATTCGAATCTCGCCGGTCGAAGACTGGAGCACGTTAAATCCGTCGGGATCTTTTAAGTCCTCCAAGTTCTTATAAGAAGTCAATAGTACTGGATCGGAGATTGATCCTTCTCTGATTTGGGTCAAAATAACGATTTATGAATAAGTCCTCCCTGTAAAACAGGTTGTGACGTATGCGTGTGGCAAAGTCGTATCCTTGGCCATAAATGATGCCGTTTTAAACAAGAAGTGCGCCACTCAGCATTTTATTCGCTTGGTACTACAGAAGCAAGGTTTGCTGGTATTGGCAAGTGGTATTTGTAACAACAACAGTTCTTTAATACGTCACTGCATTTTCGGTTTCACTTCTCACTTTTGTCCCTTAAAATCCATTTTGACGTAGTGTGACATATACGTCACGGAAATTGTAAGAATTCTATGCGACTTCTTCGAATTTGAAAAATGACTGTTTTCACATGAAGCAAATGTTTATTCTTTTCAAAAATCAAGTAGTAGCTAACAGAAGAAAATATTCATTTAGTTAAAAAAATATGATTAATAGGAGCTTTTTTTTGCGTCACGGCATTTTAAAAAATTCAGGCTTTAATGGGTTAATTGTGGTAAATATTGCTAATCCACGCACTATTGTTAAAAAAAATAGTTTTCATCGTGACAAAATCAAAAGCTTACCTAAAGCGTCCAGCCTCCATAACTTTGCAAGTACCACTGTTTTCACAAGGATTACCGTAGCAGGCATCAATGACGTATTCGCAGTTGACACCATGGTAGCCTGGTGCGCATATGCATTCATAGTCTCGTAGTGGCTTTGGCTTACATGTAGCGCCGTTTTGGCAGGGAAATGTGTAGCACGCATCACATTTGGCAAGTACCTCAGGTTCAGGTTTTCCTTAAAATTAGTAAATACAAATTAACGTTTCAAACATCGTTTATTATACTGAAACATTTTTTATAGAGTCTAAAGCGTTATATATAACAGTGGATCACGTAATGTTGCAATAAACTTCTACGTGAGTTAGGGCACATCATAGGGATAAAACTGCATAGGAATCCATCCCCGGGAATGCCGCAGTCAGCAGCTAGGGCATTTTCTTATTATGCGTATGTTCAGATACGAAGAAACAGTTCGTAATGGGGAAGTGCTCCTAGCGGCGTATGATGACATTTGCGGGCATGGATTCTAATGCAATTTTAATCCTGTTGATGTACCCTAACTTTCCCAGAAGTTTGTCGCAACATTTAATCGACTTCCTGTTACATAAAACCTTTTTAAACTTTTACATTTCGTCAAAAAATAAGACTAAAACTGTCATTTTTAAAAAAAATAAATACTGTAGCTTGGAAAGCGAAACCGATTGCAGATTCGAAATCAGCGATACGTAAGTATCTAAGATCTGTCTTAAAACTCTCATGCAAAAAACAAAGAAAAATTTATTCCTCCTTGTAAATTGACACCTTTATGCTTTTGCATTGAATTTTACTAATCTATTCGTCCTTGTAAATTAACACCTTTATGCTTTCGCATTGAATTTTACTAATTTATTCCTCGTTGTAAATTAACACCTTTATGCTTTTGCGTTGAATTTTACTAATTTATTCCTCCTTGTAAATTAACACCTTTATGCTTTTGCGTTGAATTTTACTAATTTATTCCTTAACACCTTTATGCTTTTGTGTTGAATTTTACTAATATGTTGAGTGCCAGCTATGAATTTTCAAGTGACTCGGCGAAGTGTCTACCACAGCGAATAAAAATTTTTTTCCATGCAATTTAGATAAACTTTTCAGGATATATTTAGATGTTCATCTGAAAATACACTTACCTGTGCAAACAAAGCCATTAGAATCGGCTGTTAGAACGAGCTTGTCTTTCATGGATCGAGGTTCAGCACATCTAGCAATTCCAGGTTCAATATAATCCTGCTTTATCCACTCAGAAAGCCAGCGTAAGTTACAATCACAGTACAGCGGATTGGCGCCCAAGGCTCTGAAACAGCGTTTATCTAAGTCTATAAATGAATTCATTTCAACAAGAAATATCGTGAACTTTCACTAACCCTAATTCGAAGAATGCAGCAGAAATAAGACTTCCATAAGAATGTTTTAAGAAAAATGATATTTTAATTTTATTTTTAACTAAAAAGTCAGTAGAACCAATTAATCAAAATTAAATGCACGAGACACAAAAAAGGTTCAAAATCGAATTAAAATATAAATAAAATTACGAATTTAAGGATTAACAAAATTAATCTTCTATATTTTTATTGATCTTTATCGTTAAATAAAATAACGTTTAAACGAGGGCAAAGTGATTAAAGCATTGAATTGTCATTGTGACGGCTTGAAGCTCACGGTTTTAGATTGATGGGTACCTGCTTGTCTGGGAAATAAAGGCGGTCGGTGCACAATACCACCAAAATGACGTTGGTCAGAAATTGTGGACTTTTAAACTCCATGATTCTCCTGGCTCATAATGTGATACTGTGGAAATTATTTTCTGATATTTTATTTTATTTTATAGATTAAATACATATTACACACCAGAAAAATTAATCTTACTTTACATCAGATAAATAATTACATCAGAATATTTTATCTTACTTAATCAAATAATAATATTATACTATATCTTATTAAATTCCTCTTCCATTTATGATCTTAACATTATACTATGATTTCTTACAAAATATATCCTCTTTTTATGATCTTTCTTATTTAAATAATGATGTTATACTAAGATATCTTAAAAAATCCATTCTTTATTTATGATCATTTCTTAATCAAATAATGATATTATACCATGATTTCTTTCGAAATTCATTTTTTGATCTTTCTTTATCAAATAATATTATGCTATATCTTATGAAATGCATAATCTTTTTATGATCTTTTTTAATCAATTAATGATATTATACTAACAAAATTCATCCTCTTTTTATGATTTTTTTTGTAAGATAAAAATGAAACTCTTATAATTATTTATCTAAAAAATGTATTTAGTATTAAAGTAAGTATATTGCTTTAACACGTTGACTGCTGCAAGCGTTTACAATGAAATCTCCTTCAGGCCACGAGTACCGCTGTACGAAGCGTATTCTGCTAAGTACTCCCACCGATATTTTAATAATGCGAGTCTCTGGTGGTCACAAGAATAATATTTCGCTCTGTTTGTTTTCATGGTATCATGTCTGTTTATTTGTGTCCGTTGCTTCGCATCTGTTTCTCACTACTTTATACGATCAGTTTGAATCTTTGCCGACTGAAAAGGACTTAAAATCGCAACCCTAATTCGTTGAAATTTCGAAAAGAAAAATGGAAAACTTATTTCTTAGTGTATCAGTGAACAAGAAAGCTTTTACGAGGCTCACAATAATTTTCCTAATAAATCATTTCTGTATGATTTATTAATCGATCCGAAACTCGATCGATGCCCGATAAGAAACTTGCTGTCACCCAAATCAGAAACTCCAGGTGATGCGGCCAGATCAGAAACTTTGCTGTCTCCCGAATATGGGTGACGCGGCCACATCAGAAACTCTGCTTTCTCCCGAATAGGAGTGACGCGGCCTGGTCAGAAACTTTGATGTCACCCGAATATGGGTGATGAGGCCCAATCAGAAACTTTGCTGTAACCCGAATATGGGTGATGAGGCCCAATCAGAAACTTTGCTGTCACCCGAATATGGGTGATGAGGCCCAATCAGAAACTTTGCTGTCACCCGAATATGTGTGATGCGGCCCGATCAGAAACTTTGCTGTCACCCGAATATGGGTGATGAGACCCAATCAGAAACTTTGCTGTCACCCGAGTATGGGTGATGAGGCCCAATCAGAAACTTTGCTGTCGCCCGAATATGGGTGACTCGGTACTCAGCACGTTAAATTGATACAATAGTCTGTGACATCATTTTTGTCTCAATACACAAAGGTTGTAAAACATCCAGGACTTCGTAGATACGTATGTACCAATGAATTATAATAAATGTATTTGCGAATATTATTTTTAGTGAGTTTTCATTATTGACTTTTTTTTCATATTTTTTTATGCATATATAAAATCTATATTCCAAATAAAGGAAACTATACGATATTCAAATAGATTTCAGTGTTACAATAACTATTCAATACTTATATAAAATAATATGAATTGTAAATATGAATTACATGTGCGTTATGGATACTAATTCTCGAAATGCGCCGTCTGGAATCATGGATATGTCATTGCCTTGTAAGGACCTAAAACAAAAGTTATCAGATTTAAAAAAAACTTGACATAATTTATTAAACTAGAAGAATATTAATGCCATTTAAGTAGTTATTATTTATAAAAGCCAAATTTAAAAATTAATAATCGAATATTAAACACTCTACGCAATTAATACAGAGCGTGCCAATAAAAATAGAAAATGCATATTCCATTAAATAAATTTAAGTTTTTTTAATATACATTGAATACGCATTGAATATAAAACATTGAATACAAAAGTGAACATTTGTAATAAGAACCATAGTGAATGTAAGAATGTACTCATGCATAATATAAATAAGACAAAAATTTACAGTTAATTTCAAACAGTAACATCTCTGCTTAAGATGAAACCTAATTTGTTTAGTTAGTAATCTAAATGCGTTTTCCATAAAAAAGATTTTGAGTTTACATGTATTCCCAAGTATTTTTGCAAACACGACTCTATCAGTGCACTGGCTTCTAAACGCGGTTACAAGTGAATAATTTTGCTAGATTCAAAGTTTAATTATAAGAAAAGTTGCACGGGAGCTGTTATACTAGGGGGATCGGAAAGTAATGTCGTCTCGGTGCATTTGATATTCGTTATCAAGATTTTATTATTAATCAATAATGTATTCACCTTCGTTAGCAACAACCATCCAATGCCGGATCGAAGAAAATGAATTGGTTTTTAAGACTAACGAATATTTAAAGCGCCGAAACGACATTGCTTTCTGGTCCCCCTAATATAAAAGTAATTATTTTTTAGTCATATATTTCAAAGGTGTACAGTGCTCCCCCCCCCCAAAAAAAATAGATCATTCTGAATTTTGATTAAATTTTGGATTGCTCTCCTGATTAAACTATGGGGACCATACTTCCCAGATTGCGGCTACCCCCTATATTTTGACTGTCACAAATCCGAATCCGTCGGAAAAAAAATTATGTTTATTCAGAGAAAGTACATTTTTGCACCTGAGTTCATAACTTAAAATACGGTAATTATTAGCCTAGTTGAGGTCTCTCCATCGAATCATTAAGAGGGAATCCTAGAACGTGAAGATCAGGTCATTAGATCAAAAGTTATTCAGGGTGATCAGTTTTTTTTTCCGCACTGTACATATATCAGGTTTTTTATAACTTTAACAGCGTTTGTGGAAAAACATTTTTGATGCAAGATTATACGTTTCAAAATGTTTTTTTAAAGATTATTTCAACAAAAATTTTTTTTAAATCATTAGATAATGCTTATGATCAACTTTCAGGAATATTTATTTAAAAAATTGCGACACATGAAAAAAAGTTATATAACTTAAAAAATCGAATTTTTGTAACAATTCACTTGAAATTGCCAACATAATTATTAAGTCTTAAAAAAATATTTTATTGAAAAGAATAGCAATTTCAAATGGCAAACATATTTTTTTATTCATTTAATTAATTTTTTTTTAAATTTTCGAATAAAAATAATTTTTGATAACTTTAATGTTTTTTGTCTTTTAAATGAACATTTTATCTGTGAATATAGAAAGATTAATAATTCATTATGCCAGAAAATCAAAATTTAAAATTCGTTAAAAAACGATAATAGCTTCTTAAACTTCAAATTTAAGCAAAATGTGCTACTTTTCAATTAGCGGGGCGCAAGGAAATTACACTATTTTTTTTAAAAGAAAATTGTTTAATTTTGATGTGTTCAAAAAATAAATTTAAAAAAAGTTAGCCAAGTTTATCATTTCTTGGCGACTTTTCACTTGCGGCCGGCTAACCGAAGAGTACCCAAAAATTATACTGAAACTTTTTGTCACGTAATAAACAGAAAACAAACTTACAAAATTCTTAGTGACTTTAATCCTAATAAACTATCAACCTGGATGCATTGTAATTTGTTGTAACTTAGAATCCTGCAAAAATTTTTTTTAAAAAATCAGAATTAGTTTTATTTGTAAATAGTGAACCAATAAATTTAAAATAGGTAATTTAAGCAAAGTAAATTCTTATAAGCTGCTTTAAAGATTGAATGAGTTCAATAAAGTATAAATACATTCATAATTCATATTCAATTAAATGTGTAAAAATAACTGATTAATAATCTAGAGAAATGATTATTATATGATGAATACTTACAGTGTTGATAATTTGCTCAAATTCGATACAATATTATTTGGCAAGACCGTTATCTGATTATTGCTAAGATCCCTGAAAATGTAAAGATATTTTAAGATTTCCATTTTTATCTTATTAAATAAAATCAGTATGAAATATGAATAAAATGAAATATGTATAAAATATGAATAAATGTGAATATGCATAAAATATGAATATGTAACAAATATGAAATATGTATAAAATATGAATCAGTGTAAAATATGAAAATAGCAAATTTGAAGAAATTCTGCATAATGTTTCATTATGCAGAATTTGCATATTGCAAAATCAATTAAATAAAATCTTAATTAGAGAACATGTATTATGATAATCAAATCAGATAACATGATATATGATTTACAAAAGCCGATATTTATACAAAAATACTTCGTCAGCACACTAAATGCTACAGAATTGTTTAACCTACTTAACACAATAAAAAGCTTTATTATATACTTAAAAGGACATAGCTATAGTTTAAAATAGTGTTGTTACGATAAGCTTGTGACTAGCTGCAGTTTAAGATAGTGTTATTACGATAAGCTTGTGACTTAGCTGCAGTTTAAAATAGTGTTATTACGATAAACTTGTGACTTAGCTGCAGTTTAAAATAGTGTTATTACGATAAGCTTGTGACTAGCTGCAGTTTAACAAAGTGTTATTACGATTAGCCTGTGACATGGCTGCAGTTTAAGATAGTGTTATTATGATTACCATATTAAATAGCTGCAGCTTAAGATAGTGTTATTTCGATAAGCTTGTAAAAAATATTAGGTAGTTCATTAAATAAAATGCAATCGGTTAGAACTTTTATTAAAACTAATAAACATCAAAAAAATACTTACAATCGTTCTAAATCTTTGAATATATTCAAATCTTCCGGCATTCTTGAAATATCATTTACATCTAAATACCTGCATGATAATTAAATGTTTATATTAAACTGTATTAAATCTTTAAAAACGTCTCATACATTAAAAAAATATATATATGTTTTTAAAAAAAGGCAAAAATTTAGTATTAAATAGCAAAAGATTCCCTTTTGTGAGTCCGAAAAGCAGCAACGCAAAATGTAAGACAATTTAATAGTTTTCCTTTTTTTAAAAAGTATTTAAAGTAAATCAAAATGGCTGCTGTTATGACGTGTAGTTTTTAAATAGTTTTTGCAACTTTAAACATAAAGTTTTAAAAGAAACTATAATTTGAAAATCACTAACCCTTACAAGAAATATAAAAATAACCTTTAAGGGTGGTGATTACCGCACACCCAAAATATAGAGAAATGATTGATCTTTGTTTATTTACCTGAGATTGTTGAATCTTAAAAGTTTTAAAATAGTTTACACTGGCAGATTCTGTGGAAATTGTGTGAAATTAATTTGAGTTTTTAATACATTGAATTTTAATTAATTAGGTTTTTAATTAAATAAAAACTAAGGGGATTTTAAAATTATTGAACTAGGTTGCTAAACTTTTAAAGTTTTAATTAATTAAACTGACCACCTTCTCCCTTTGCTCCCCAACCCCATGATCGCTTTGCAGTTTTTCCTTATGTTTCTCATCGCAGTTTTTCGCTTGAATTATGTGAAACTGAAATTTCATTGAAAAACAAAATTTATTTTTGTTTCCAATAATTAGTAGATTATGCTCTTTTTTCTTCTTCTTTTTTTCCTTTTTTTTCGTTCGTAGTTGAAAAAAACTTTTTATTGTTGAATTTCAAGAATCAAAAGATGGAAAATTAAACTTCTTATTACAGATAAAGTTTTAACTTATTGAAAAAATTAGAGTTTTTAAAAAAAATTTTGGCACAAAATTTACAGTTTCTTAAAACAAACTAAATATTTATAGTATATATTTTCAGTTTTTTTACGAAAGCTGATAAACATACACTTATAAAGAGGTTAATTTTTAACCATTACTTCACAAATATAAGTGTAAAGTGTATATTACTAGGCATCGAATAAAAATTATGTGTATACCATATACAATTTTGTAATTCAAGAATAAAAAAAACAAACCTAAAGATTCATGATGAGAGTAACGAAAGATAGTTTTTATTCTAAAATAAAACGGTGCATTGCTTAAAATAAAGATGATAAATTATGATTGATCTTTTTCTTAACTCAATATACTTGTTAAAAAATATGGATGCTTTTGTTTTTCGCCATGATTTGGAAAACTTATATTAGATTAATGCTTTTATAGTATGTTGGAGTTAAGAAGTTTACTCAAAAGCAGCAGCTAATAAATATTTAGAATCGATGACATTTCTTTTGGTGTTCGTTAGTTTTTTAAATAATGTTTTGTGATGGATTGATAACTTTATTGAAAGGAAAAAAAACTTAGGCTATAAAAGATTGAAAATCAATAGCATATTTTCTTCGAACATGTGTTTATTTTTGCGTAATCAATGTTTGAGGAATAAAAATTTATCGACTTCAGTACGCATCCATCTTTTTTCATATTGTAATCCACAATGTTAAAATAGTTCATTAATCAACTAGCTATTTTTTTCCTGCTTTTTAGATTTGGTTTCAAGATTAAATGTTATAAAAGTATAAATTTCTAGCATTATTTTTCTTCATTTCTTTAAATTTGTATTTAGTTTAAGGCTAAAAATTAAGAAAATATTAATTTAAAGGGAAGAAAACTATGAATTAAAGTTAGATTTTCAATCTTGCATAAGTTTTTGATATTGAATAAAATATTGCGACTATAACATTTAGCGTTAAGAATTAAAAATTTGGTTTAAATTATATTACAATTTATTTCCTTCATTTCCTTAAATTCTTATTTAGTTTAAGGTTTTGTCTCTGGGTCCGACGATAACTCAGAGTCACAAAATTCTCAATATAATAAAAATAAAAGTTCTCAAAAATCTCATGAGCGGACTGTAATAATTAAACACCACTTTATTAACACAAGTCAATTAGAGAAACGCTGTTTTCACACATCCGAGCTCTTCGGATTCATAAGATACACTAATTTTTCATAGATGGCGCTTCTGGCGTCAACAGTCTCTTAAATTTGAAGAATAGAAAACTCTGCATTAAAGATAGAAGTTTATTCTTGCTCAAGCATTTGATATTGAATAAAATATTACAAATATATACATATATATTTTTTGGATTACGAATTGGGTTACGGTTTTCTCTCTCCATCTCTTTAAATTCTTATTTAGTCTGCCTCCTAAATTCAAATAACAGAAAACTTTGAAATAAAGTTAAATTTTCGATCTTGCTTAAGTTTTTGATATTAAATAAAATATTGCGAATATAACTTTTGGTTTTAAGAATTCCGAGATGTGTTTGAATTTGATTACGGCTTTCTTTCTTCATCTCTTAAAATTCTTATTTAGTTTAAGGTTTTGTCTCATAAATTTAAAGAACAGAAAACTCTGCATTAAAGCTCGATTTTCAATCTTGTTCAAGTATTTAATCTTGAATAAGATATTACAAATATAATTTTTTGTATTAAGAATTGGGTTACGGTTTTTTTTTTCTCCCTTAAAATTCTTATTTAGTTTAAGATTTTGTCTCTTAAAATTAAAGAATAGAAAACTCTACATTAAAGTAAGAAGTTCAATCTTGCTTGTTTAAGATTTTAAGTCATTAGCGTATGTATATTTGACCGAAGCGCCACCTTTAATTTTCTTTAGATTTATTTGTTTTAATATTTCACTTTAGGTTGCGTGGCAACCTGAGATAGTTTTGTTGTTGTTCTTTTTCGTTGTAATTTAGAATTATAATTTTTTAGAATCCGTTTTTGATGCTAAATTATTAGTTATTAAAAGATTAAAGTTTTGTATTTGTTGTCATTCATCTGTAGAACTTGTAGTTCATTTGATTGATTTTATTTAAAAGGCGTCCGCATTATTTATTTTCACTTATCAACGACATTGCTCAAGTATTTGATATTAAATAAGATATTACAAATATAATTTTTTGGATAACGAATTGGGTTACGGTTTTGTTTCTTCATCTCTTAAAATTATTATTCAGTTTAAGGTCTCTTAAGTCTCTTAAATTTAAAGAATAGAAAACTCTGCATTTAAGTTAGAAGTTTAATCTTGCTCAAATATTTGATGTTAAATAAGATATTACAAATAAAATTTTTTGGATAACGAATTGGGTTACGGTTTTCTTTCTTCATCTCTTAAAATTCTTATTTAGTATAAGGTTTTGTCTCATAAATTTAAAGAATAGAAAACTCTGCATTAAAGTTAAAATTCTTATTTAGTTTAAGGTTTTGTCTCATAAATTTAAAGAATAGAAAACTCTGCATTAAAGTTAGAAGTTTAATCTTGCTCAAATATTTGATGTTAAATAAGATATTACAAATAAAATTTTTTGGATAACGAATTGGGTTACGGTTTTCTTTCTTCATCTCTTAAAATTCTTATTTAGCTTAAGGTTTTGTCTCATAAATTTAAAGAATAGAAAACTCTGCATTAAAGTAAGATTTTCAATCTTGCTAAAGTTTTTGATGTTGAAAAATGTACAGCAAATATAATTATTTAGGTTAAGAATTGTTGAATAATAATCATTTGTAAAAATAATTAGAACATCAAGCCAACAATTTATTAAAAATTCATCGTTAAATCTGGATTTATAGTAAACAAGTTTTACTGCATTCTGATCTTTTTAAAAATAAATTTTTTAAAATAGAATTAAAACATTAAATGTCAATTATAGCATAATTGTATTCCATAATTCATCACACCTTGACGTAAAAGTCAACCTAATCTATACGAAAACTCAATCAGTGCAAGGCAGACATGATATTGTTGATAACCATCAGCTAAAGTATTCTTTTCAAATTTATTACCAAAAACTTCCCATCGCCAATTATATTGCAATGCAACCTAAAATTTAGATCCTTATCTGATAACACAAACCATCAAGAAAGGGTTCATTTCATATTCTGATGGTGTCGAGACTGCGTGAAGATGGAATTAACTGCACCTTAGCACACCCCCGCATATTCAGTGACCCGTGAAAAGTCTTGACGGATTAAATAGGTTTAATTTTTAGCTGTTCACTGATCTCAAACTTGAGATTCAATAGAAGGTTATTATTAAATTGTTTTCGTAAGAAATAATGCGCGATTTTGATTCTAAGAATGAAAAGTTTGCTGGCGTGAGAAACTTCAAGTGAATTCGGTCTGGAAAAGTTTTGGAATAAAGTTTTTGACAGATTTAGAAAGATGTTTTTGTTTAGATTTTTAAAGCGACGATTGAAAATTTTAATTTAATTTTTTACCTAAAAACAGTATATACATGGTCCAGAGCTATTCTTTTTAAATATTTTTTCGAAAGCTTTAATTACGAACAAAAATATATTAGGGTGTTTTTTAATTATAAAAAACAGTTTAATAATAACTAAAAAAATCTGTTGAATTATCAGAATTACATTTGTACTAACATACACAATCCAAAAAAGTATTTTGAAAAACCATTTTTTTCAGTCAATTCAATAATTTATTTTGAAAATTAAGGAAATTTCATTGATAATTAAATAACTATTTCTCTTAAATCTAAATAACTGTAAAAAAGTGCCAATTTGAAAAATTATTGTTTGGAAGTGAGCTATGTTTGGAGGATTTTGCCTTAAGTCAAAACGAGACACCAGTGTTTTATGGTGTATTTCATAACTATAAATTATAAAAACACAAAATGTAATATTTTTTTACTTATTGTTCGCCAAAATTAATACAAAATAATTAAAAAAGTATGAAAAATTTGCTTAAAAAAATTCTGCGTGAGGTTTAAAGAATTCCTTTGACACATCTTCGCAAACATAATTTCAAACTTGAGATTCAGTAGAAGGTCATCATTGAGGCTTTTTTTTTCTTTTCTTTTGAAGATCCTGTTGTTTTAATATGCTGATTTCATAACTGCTGTGCGTTTACAACAGTTATTCATGACTGTGAGGTCGCAAAATCATTTATTTTGACAGATGGTATAGCAAAACGTTCGCCTGATTCTATGCAATAGTTTTTGATCGGTAACCTTTCAAATATAAAAAGTGAAAAGCCGAATTTTCAGCATACTTTACTTTTGCGGCGAAATGTTGCCCAAGCTAGAAAAAAAATTCTGATGTGTAGAGAAGATGCATTGGCCATACGCCAGTGCAGAAACTGTAATTTTGATTCAACGACATTTCGATTAAGAAGCAAGATGATGCATCACAGTGTAAGCCAATGAGGACGCAATAAAAGCGTTAATTGATTCAAACCTGCGAATAACAAGTCGTGAGATATTAAATTTATCGAATTAGACCGTTTATAATAATTTGCAAAGCCTAAATTTTAATCTCAAAACTCGATATATGGATTTTTTATGTTCTTACGGAAAGAACCGTCGCGTTGACATCTAATTTTTTCAAACGTCAAGAATTTTTAAAGCGCATCATCACTGTTTACGAAAAATGGATTGTCGACAATAATGTTCTAGTTACTAATTATTTTAAATGGTTAAAACTTTTACTTCAAAAACCATATGATTTAGTATTTTGACAGCAAAGAACAGAAATTTTATGTGCCTGGAATCATGTTACGATTACCAAGAAGATAGCTGAAGGTAATGAACCAGAATGGACAATTTTTGATTCAATAAAATATTTATTCACAATAAGAAAATCGTCTTTTATTTTCATTAGAAAAAAAAACGAAATTACCTTCAGACCAATTTAAAAGTTGTTCTTGATAATTTTCGTATAGGTGGAAAAATTTCCCTAAATTGTTTTTTCAAGTGTAAGGTATTTAAATTGGTCTTGTTTTATTTATTTATTTATTTTGGTGAGTTTTCAAAAACACTCTTAAATTGCTTTCGTAAGAAATAATACACAATCTTCTTTCTAAGAATAAAAAAAGTTAACTGTCTTGAGAAACTTCAAGTGAATTCGTTCTAGGAAAGTTTTGGAATATATTTCTTAAAGCCATTTTTATTTTTAAATCAATAATTTAAAAAAAATATTAAGCTTTTTAACGCTAATGAAGGTGTTAAAGAACATCTTCATGATCCTTCAATCAATTCTAAAGAAGTTTATCAATAAACTGTTTTCTTAAGAAATAATGCATGATCTGGCTTTAAGAATAAAAAGTCAAATATTTTGAGAAATTTTAGGTGATTTTGTAGCTGTAAAGTTTTAAGGTTCATAAAAGCATTTTTTTTTTTGTGTTTGAAGCGGAATTTAAAATTTTTATTTAATTTTATTAGTTTTAGAAAGGGAGTAATCTCTAATTTTTTAAAAAAATAATAAATGTTCAAATGTTTAAAAGGGCGGAAAAATAAGAACATTTTTATTTACAGAAAAAAATTAAATAAAATCTTAATAAAAAGTCCAGGGGTCTGTCCAGACATTTTGTCAAAGGTCCGTTTTTGTAAAATTGTGAAAAAATTACTCGTAATTTGAGAATATAAAATAAACGTTAAGTCACATTCTTTCAACCAGGGTCCAGCTTTTGCGAATTTGTGCAAATAGGGTCTTATTATTGCAAAAAACTTTTTCAAGGAGTTTGTAAATTGTAAAGAGATACAAGATTATGCTCAACGCTGTAAAATTATAATTAAAAAATTTTTATTTTAAAAAATAAACAGCCATTGCTGCTACTAAATTAGAGATGCAACATACAAATATTTGGTATTTAGCCTATACTGCTGAACGCAGAATATTCATTTCGGACGAATAAAGGAAGAAGCGTCTGCCGAAGACAAAACTTAATTCGTTTACATCCATCTTTCTTGTTTTCCCCACTGGGAAGGGTTTATTCGATTAACAAAACAATAATGAAGATAAAGTGTGAAAAATCATTTTGTGAAGGGTCTGTTTTTAAGTCAAAATATTTTGTGAAGGGTTCGTTTTTATGAAAAGATATTTTGTGAAGGGTCCGTTGACGAACCCAAATTTCGTCTAAACAGACCCCTGAAGTCTACAAAAAGTATTGAAAATGTCCTTGTGTTTCTATTTCAGGAGTTTTAATGTTTCGTCATATGAAGAAGAGTTTGTCGAATATGAAGTCATATTCGTCATATGAAGAAGAGTTGACTACACAAAATATCTCATAGAAAACTTTAGAGTGGTAAGTTTAGTGACGAGAAAAAAAAATCGAACAGAAAGATATGAATTGTTTCTTATGGTGCGGGGGATGATCAGCAGTAGTAAATTTGAAGTATCACCTCTAAGGCGTAACACCCCCAATTAATCAACTCGGTCTAGATCAATCAAATATCTGACGACGCGCTACACCCTCAATACGCCAAAGGGCGTCGGCAAACAGCAAACAATAATTGCTATTTAAAAAAATAAAATTAGAAAAAAAAATTGGAAGTACAGGTGATGACGGAGGTGGAAGCTACTTACAGTTCCGTAGTAGTGGGAGGGATATTTCTTGGGGAGGCCTTAAGTTTCCTTCTGCTACAGTGAACCACTGTACCGGTACAGGTACACCCCAGGGGGCAGGTCAATGTAGCTCCACAGCCTTCTTCTTCTTCCATGCCGACTGGAAGGAAAGATTAAAAAAAGAAGAAAAATATATTAAAAGTAAGCAGTCACGGAATTAGTCGGGCGTGCAAAGAAAAATCGACAAAAAAGGTAGGTTGGTGTTTTATGGGATATCTTGATTATCATCAACATTCTCCATTGATGTTTAATGAAAATGAATTTAGCTTCTTGGAATTAAAAAAAAATGCCCCGAAGATTTTTTGTTTAAGACAACGAAATGGAATTATCATGAGGCCTTGCAATGTAAAAAAGGGAAAATTAATGGAATAACCTTCTTCAGATTGTAACTACTGTTAAAAGATCGTATCGCTCATGGGCTGCAATAGCGGCACAGCTCAAAAAATCTTGTTTTGAGATAAGTGGGTTTAAAATTTTCATTGCGAAGGAAAATGCATAAGAAATGCTTTAGCTTGCTTAAACGAAGATTACCTTCAAGTTGAATTATGAGTTGTGCTAGTATTGCTGCTGAAAAGAATGCGTATTTTCATATTTACACCTGTTCTTAGTCCAAAACGCATGGTTTTTGAGTTGTGCAACTATTGCAGCCCATGAGCGATATACTACTATGAGCAAGTAGGTCGCGTCCATCTGGTATCAGCATCTAGTAATCTGTAATTTGTTTCATGTCCTATTACTAAGATCTAATTGTTGTATGTAAACGAGAATTCTTTTTTTTAAAAAAATATTGGCTGAGATAGCATTTTTAGAATTGATTACTAAGAGTTGGTCATAGTTGTTAAATTTCAAACCTCAATTACAGATTAGAATTTTAGATTTAACATAACAAAATGGTTATGCATTCTGTTGATGTATGAATTATGGAGATTATTTATTTTCCAAACCTTTGATATCTTCTTTTTGATGTTGATTTATATAGTAAGATGACTCGATGTCTAATTAAAGAACTCCTTCAGCCTGTCATCTACTGGATTGTTAGCGATATTGTTGGGAGGTTAAATTATTTTTAAATAGGGCTCTGAGGTAAACATTAAGGGCAAATTTTGACTTTTTGTCAGCGAGAAAAGTATCAAAAGCTTCTTTCTTTGAATTGCGTATTTTCTTGTTTTCGGCCAAGACTCTCTGGTGGGAGTTCTTTAGTTAGATAGACAGTAGCGTTAAATTTTAGTTGTCTTCTTTTTGATGTTGATATATATATAATATAAAGACTTGAACTGTAGTTCAAATTTTTGATATATTCTTGAATTTGATTTATAAAGTATAAAGACCTGATATCGATCTAATCAGGAATCTGAATAAAAAATCTAGAGTTGCAAATGCAGAACTACCAAAGGCTCGTCTGATGATCGTAATCTTGAACCAAATATTTGTGAACAAAATGCTTTTGTATGATTTATGACAAAAGAGAATTACGATGGATTAACATAATTAAAGCTCTTATTTATTTCAATTTTTGAACTTATAATTCTAGTTTACTTCTCAAAAAAAATTTTTTTTCTTCTAATTTTATGTGACCTTTAGAAATTGGGGGCTTTAGGTTAAGTCTGTCAGGTCTTCTGATTAATCAGGCACTAGTTCCAATATTTTGCTATTTTTCTTCTTGATATTGGATTATAATACTTAATTTTTATATATATAAAGATTAATTTTATATTTGTAAATAAATATAAAGATTATATCGCTCATGAGCTGCTATAGCGGCACAACTCAAAAAATCATGTTTTGAGATAAGTGGGTTTAAAGTTTTCATTACTAGTGAAAATGCATAGGAAATGCTTTAGTTTGCTTAAACGAAGATTACCTTCAAGTTGAATTATGAGTTGTGCTATTACTGCTGCTAAAAAGAATGCGTATTTTCATATTTACACGTGTTCTAAGTCCAAAACGCGTGTTTTTTTAGTTGTGCCTCTATTGCAGCCCATGAGCGATAGATAGATCCGTCATAATTAAACGAGGAACAGCGATTTTATTATTTTGGATCAAAACTACAAGAAACTGCGTATATGTCTCAAAAAAGTTTATAATCATAATTCTAAAAAGTGTTTAAATTTTCTAAAACTAACATTCAATGAATAAAATATATTTTCAAAACTGTTTCGATATCTCAATTATCATTATCTTCGATTTAGATACTTAGTTTTTTCCACTTGCTCAGCGACTTAAGTTAGCTTTGAGCTTTCGTATAGTTAAAAATTGTAAATGAAACTGACTCACTGTCACACTCAAATTCTTTTTTCTCTACGTCCTTAATGGGAATATCTTTGAGAGACATGGGTGCTTGGCAGCGTGGATTCCCATTGACTATATTCGATCTCTTCAACCAATCACTGAGCCACCTCAGTCTACACGTACACTTCAAAGGATTTGCTAGGAGGTTCCTGTAAAAGAGAAGGAGATTTGTTTAAATTTCATAAAACAGCAATCGATTTTCGTAGTTCATGTGTTTTTAAGATGCCAGCTGGCAACTTTATAAACAGTGCGAAAAAATACGAGTACATTGAATAGTTTTTGGTCTATTCATTGGATTTTTCACCTTCTGGTGCTCAGTTTTAATAGTTAGAGGGCTTAACGTATGGCAATACGTACTTTCTCTGAATAAAGATACTCCCCCCCCCCGAAAAAAAACGAAACTGGCTTCTTGACCCTCAAAGTCGCAATCTGGTGTGGTATTTGGTTGAAATTTTGAACCTGTAAATGTTAATTTCACCTTTTGTGTATTTTGGCCATATTCCCTGGATTAAAGAAAGCAAATCAAAATGTGTCAGAACGTGACTGTAAAACATGCGTGTCCAAAGTTAGTTCTGTACATTAAGCAATTATTTATTAGTTTTTTTTATCGTTGAGCTAAAAAATTTGAATTTTAAAGCATGACATTTTTAACTATTTTATTCTACGCAATTTTAAAAGAAAAATATCTGAAATTTGAAGAGAATGGATCGATTAGTTCTTGAGAAATAATAAAAAAGTGTGATTATTTAGCAAAAGTACGTTCTTGTGTTTGATTTTGCAACTTAAACTATCCTCATGTATATTTTATTTCATAACAGGTGATGAACAGCTGACCCAATTCTGAGTTTACGACTCCTAATGTTCAACTCGTAGCCTTGTAATTTTGAACCCAATCAAGACAAGAGAACTCCTGGATCAAGTATTAGGAGAAATTTGCCTTCGTGGATGTCTTTGCGGGTGGAACTAACCCGCATTTGCGTTACAGGGAGAGGAAAACCATGAAAACTGAGTCACCACGATATATGGTGAGGCCCCCAAACCATTAAGATTGAGTCATAATTCGATCTGTAGATATAAGTTTATTCAGGAAGTTCACTTTTTTATTTTGAGCACTGTATATTGTGTACGAGTTTTTCCCACGTTATAAAAATTACAACATTTCTAGAAATCTAAAAATTTATTTTTTTAAACTTTTTTTGCTACTGTTATATCGGTATTGCTACAGTTACAAAAACCAGTTTTTGAAAACAACTTGAATGTTTGTTTGAATTAATATTTTTTTTCTATTGTAACAAAATACATAGATTGTTCAATTAAAATATACTTACAATGTTGTTAAAGCAGGCATCTTATCAAATGCACCAGCCATAATGTGAGTGATTCGATTATCATACAAAGATCTAAAAAAAATAATTAAAAAAAAAATAAAAATATAGAAACCGTCATAGATATTTAAATCCGTTTCAATTTCAGAAAAAAGAACATTTTTAATTAACAGGGAACCGCATCCGACTCTAAATTTTACTTTTAGTCAAGTTTATTATGATTACCATTATTGACTTTGAAATAAAAATAAGCAAAAGAAATAATATATGTGTATATATGTATATATTTAGCAAAAACAGTCTACTGTGAATTTAACAAGAGAACTACTTGTGTTTTCTGTTTTTGTTTTACTTCATTTACCCCGCAACCGCGTAACTTATCTTTGTCCTTAACCAATGCCTTAATCGACGTTGCATCGTAAACGTCGTTTAAACCTTGCAGCCTAATTAATGTCTTATCAATTAATTAATTGATGACCTAAAATTGCCTTTTAGAATTAATCTTCTCAAGGAAACTATTCTTTACATAAAAATTAAATTTGAATTTCATGAAAATATTTCCTTTTTTATTTCAGATTTGAATCGAAAAGTGTTAGGTTTTGTTTAGATATTAATGAATTTATAACCAGCAAGTTTCTTTTAACATTAAATATTAAAATGCGGAAAGGTTACTTTAGATATTAATTAATTTATATCCAAAAAGTGTTTTGAACATTAAATATTAAAATAATTAAAGTTTTCTCCAGATATTAATTAATTTATATCCAGAAAGTTGTTGTAACATCAAAATAATGAAAGTTTCCTTTAGATATAAATTATAAGTAAGTTATTTTCACAAATATTATTATAAGAATACTTCTTTGTCTTTAATTTTTGTATAGAATTTTACATTTTGCAGTGCATTCCAAAATTTAACGAGTTTTTCATCAAAAAACAAAAAACCTTTACATAAGATTTTTTTATTGCAATTTCTACTTTATTTCACAACATTTTACCTAATGAGCAAAATATTATTTAAAAAACCTCTACAATAATTTAAAATAAGGAAAATTTTGATTCACTTTGCATTTTTTTACTTTTACAAATACAAGAAAGAAAGATTAGAAAGATTAACAACTTTCTACTTGTGTGTTATCCTTAAACTTTTCTAGCTTCAAAGACAGCCAAAACTTAAAAATATTCAAAAATTTGATTAATTAAGTTTAGAACAAAACTAATCGCAATGATGAATAATGCATTTTAAAGTTTCCCCTCAACTTAAAATGACAGCAAATATTCACCTTCGGAAACATACTTTTACTTATACATAAATAATACCCTCAAAACATCGATCGACGACCACTATCGACAAAATCTTCGAAGAACATTTCTATCTATTAATATTTCATCCTTTTTCCAATGGTCCCCGAGTTCATTAAAATGAATAATTATCGAAAGATTGGGTAACCGAAGAGATTTGCGGCCATAACGAAAGAGCATACTTCAATAATGATTAAGAGTTAATGGCACTTACAGTAATTGCAGAGAACCCAAACTGGTGAATGTATCATTAGAGACGCAAGTCAGCAAATTTGTTCTCAGCATCCTGAAAGTAGAAAGTAAAGAGATATTCGTTAGAGATAGTAATTAATAGAAATGTTACATTAAGTTAGAGATATTAAGTTTTTCTTCACCAAATTTAGTAAGAGCGAGAAAATATTAATTATAAATGGATACATTATTGTTATTATGAATCCAAGTGATTTAAAATTCTTCATATTCTGCTAATGGTATGATTTATATCATGCGTTATGAGTGAATATTTATGTTGTGAATTTCATAAAAAATAGAATTATTTATATTACATGGAATGAGTTAATATTTATGTTAACAGAGGTAGATTATTTTATTTTATAACAGCTAAGAAATTTCAACTTATAGAATCATTATTTGACCGAAACCACATTTTACTAACAGTCTACTATAAGCACTTGCCCCACTATATAAGACTATGAAATATATTTAAAAAAATTTGTGTATATAAATTAGTAAATTTTAAAATTAAATTATTGTCCTATATTTGCATTACATGAACCACGATGGTTCAGTGGTTAATGTGCTGGACTGTTATCATGAAGAACGGGGGTTCGATTGGCGGTGGTTGGAAACTCACCCAGCTTCAGATCCATAGGTACGAAACATGTCAGAGAAGTAAAGGCGATTGGCGCGCAATTTAAGCCACACTGCCACAATAACACCGTTGGTCTCGAAATTGTGTAAAAATTGTCGAATCTTCATCACCCCCTGGCCCACAATGGGCTGTTGCGAGAATGATCTTATGTACATTACATGTTCAAACTATGTACTCGATATGAGAGTTTTACTCTAGTACAGATAAAATTGATAGCAAAAAAACATAAAAATGAATTGTGATATTTTCTCGAATTTATTTTTATATTTCATTTTTATTATTTATATATATTTTAATTTTTATTTTTATTTATTTTTTCAGACAAAATTCTTAGAAGAAACTGGGATAGGAGAAAATATGTATATAACTTGCTGCCGTTTTATTTTAGAAACGTTTAAATCATATTTATTAACTATTAATTTGAAAAAATGAAAATGTTATATTTTTATATAAAATTATTTTAAAAGCATATAAAACATATTTAAACATATTAATTTAGTCTCCGTTCAAAAATGTCAGAGATGTATGGTGATTATTACATTATTTAAAAAAAATTATTATTTAAAAAAAGAAATTATTATTATTTATTATTATTTTAAAAAAAGAAACAAATAGCATTTTTAATTAGTTAACGTTTCAAGGCACCCTATGAGCCACTTGGCAAAACATCAAAAAAATGAAATTTTTGCAAAGTTTATTCAAAGTGAGCTGCTAATGTATTTTCATGAGAGTCAATTCTATGTAGATTAATAGATTTTATTAATACTACTAATTATTATATTTTATTTTCTAATTATTAGACTACTCATTATTAGATTTTATTTATTAATTATTAGACTACTAATTATTAGATTTTTATTTCTATAATCATTAGATTTTATTAATACAACTAATACTTAGTTAAAAAAGAATACTTTAAAAATTATTTTAATACAATTATGCTTTATACTCTTCAATATGGCACTTTTTGAAGAATCATCCACGTATATATAAAAAAAATTCAACCCCAAATCATTTGTTACCTTAATATACACCAAAACCACGCAAACAGTTTTTCGAATAGCTACATAAAGCAACAGGAAAAATGTATCACGCAATATTCAGATTAGAGATAACGAGGAAAAAGAGTGTTAATTATTCTCTTATTAAAGAGAATAATCATACTTACAGTGTTTTCAGATTTGAAATACCGTTGAACATTTTAGCAGTGACTTCTTTCAATTTGTTTTCAGTTAATAATCTAAAAATAGAAATAAAATATTTGGTTTTAGGCAACCTACACTGCAAGAAAATCTGTTAAATTTACGGAGAAAAAAAAACAGTCAGCTAGTGTGTCAGTATAAAGCAATTTATTTCACAGAAAAATACTGTTATTTAAAAACGAACACCTGTTTTTTAAGCAGATAAGTATTGTTATTTTAACAAAGTGCTATTTTGGCAAAAAATATAGCATAAAAAATTTAAAAAGGTAAAAAGCATTTTATTCCTTTTAAGGAATTTCCATTGGTTTTAACTAGACAATTACCCCCCCCCCTGATAACGACCTTGTTTATCCGACAATCTAAATAGTTAAGATGCTTTTAATTTCACATTTGGATTGGGTTGACAAATTCGTTGAAGTATATTAGACTCTTTTTTTCACTCTGAAATGTTAATTTGAGTCTTCTAATGCTTATTTTTTTCTCTTCATTTTGGCTAATGAGTAAACAAATGCATATTATGGCCACATTATGAATATAGTTAAAACGAATTAAGATTAGAATTGATTATTAAATACTGAATCTAATACTTTAATACCAAAATTCATATATTTAAACATCTTCAGTAATTAAATTTCTGTTATAAACTGCATGTTTCATAAATTTATTAAAAAACTAATTAGAGAATAACATACGTTTCTGAAAGTTCAAAAAGGAAACTCCTAATAAATCTTACCATCTATTAAAATAGTGCAAAAAATGTATGAAGTCAAAATTAAATAAACAAAATAATGCAAATAGGCAAAAACTAAAACTAAAAGAAAAATCATTGAAGTCAAATTATTGTATTAGTATATGTATTTGCGCTAATTATTATAAAATAATTTGTTTAAAACTAATTAAAATTCAATACTTTCCGGAATTTCTTTTTTTAGAATTAATTTTGCAGTTAATATTCGACTGTTTTTGTAATTTTAGTGTAGGAAAGATATCTTTTAATTTTATACTTTTTAATTAATACAATTATAAGAAAGATAATAATTGTTAGTTAAAAGCAGGATTTGTTAAATATATTATTATTTTGAGAAAAATCGGTTTAAATAATGTTGAGTGAATTGGCAAATATCCGTTTTGGGTCTCGTAAACAATCGCCAAACTATCATTATAGCTAATTGTGATAATAATTACTTCTAGTATAGTAGATGTTATTTGTGTTGATAATTACTTCCAGTATTGTGCATGTTATTTGCGTAGATAATTACTTCTAGTATTGTGAATGTTATTTACGTCAATAATTATTTCTAGTATTTTAGTAATGTTTAACTAATACATCAATATAGGGTCTTAATAGAAATTTTGAGGTAATAGGTCATGGTAATATGGTAATAGCCTCCGAAATCGATAAGTAACATTTAGTTAAATTGTTTCAAACTATAGCTACCTATTTTTGTGTAGTCTTATGGAAATAGAATAAAGAATAAAATAGAATTTTTCTTCCTCTGAAAAATATGTAGGACCAATGGTTTTCAAAAGGTTCCAATATAGCGTTGAAACCTCTATTGTTATTTAATTTTGAATGATTAATGGCAGTTTAATAAATTGTTCAAAAATAAATACTTACAAATCAGTAAGCTGATTGGCTCCGTGAAAAGCACCATCATCAATTTCAGAAATTTCATTGTTACTCAAATCCCTCAAAATAAAAAATAAACACAAGTTAATAATTTTAACGGAAAAATATATTGTAACAGATGTACATTTAACATAAAATATTTTATTTATTTATTTATTTTTTTTACAAATTCTCATTTTTGATGTTAACTTGAACCAAATTTTTCTACGCTGCTTGACAATTGCTAAGGAACAACTAATTTATGCAAAGCATTGTTCTTGACAGCCGACTAATAACAGTAAAATTTAAGTGTAGATGGAGACAAGACCGTAGCCAGGATAATTTTTCGGGGGGGGGGGGGATATGGTAAGAAGCAAGGACGGTTTCAGACGTGCAAAGTAGGGGAAAAACATTATAACAAATATTGTTTATTCTGTTGTTTGCAAACGTTAAACTAGTAATTAAAAAATATTACATAATAATTATTTTTCATTTATTATTAAATAATAGTTATAATCAATTTGTAAACAAAGTTTACAAAGATATGCGACGGGGATTTGACGAAAATTTTTCGATTACTTTTTTAGGACGAACCGGAATATCCCGAAATATGCTTAATAAAGTTTGTTAATAAAAGATTTGATTCGACAGTTTTTGTTTTTCTTTTTACTGAGAGGCTCAAAGAAAGACTAAAAAGTTTGAATCCCAGAATTTCGGGGGGGGGGGAGGATTTCTCCCGACAGTCCCCCCCCCCCTGGCTACGATCCTGGATGGAGATCAGTACCCGTTATCTGTATAATAGGCAGCGCACACAATGTCTTCATTCATTCGAAAATTCATAATGTTAGGTACTCTACCAAAATAGCACCATAGGTTGCTATGAAATTCAGTGTGGTGTTGCAATAATTAGGTGCAAAATGTTGGCAATGCATCATTTGAGTTCGACTGAGGCCGCAGTATCGGAAAAAAGACCGCTGAAGGTGGAGATGCTAGACGATAGCATGCCGGTGGTCGTTGTAGGTACACCACACTTCAAGAGTAACTGTGTGTATCCCCAGTAGCGAAAAAGAACAGAAATGTCACTCCCAGACAGATAGCTGCAAATCTTGCAACCACTACTGGTACACATGTCATCTCACGGCGATAAAATCAAGTTGAATGCATCTCGCTCTAACCATGAGGAAGATTACGTTGGTTTAAGGGACGTATTGGTTGTGGTAACCAAAAGTTGTCCAGAGGGATGTTTTCCAACGAATCCTGATTCATTATGAAAATTGATTCTGGCTACCAGTTAGTGTTGAGAGAGAGAGGAACACGTTGTGCACAACAATAGGTTCATAAAGGTGATCGGCTGATCGGTATGGCCCAGACGTGCCGGTATAGGCTGGCATCAAACTCACATGTTGAACACCACTTCACATCGTTGAGCGAGGTAACGTTACATCACAGCGATACTGCAGAGAAATTATTCTGGATCATGTTTGTCTCTTTAGGGTCGTGGTAGGTCTGTTTATATGGACGACATTGAGCGGAAACTCAAGTGCGCTAAAAGTAAAGATATTGACCGTACACAATGACCTACGTACTTTTCTGACCTAAATCTTATAGAGCGTGCCTAGGTTGCCCTTGGCAGACGTGTTTCACAAAGAACACTTCCTTAGCAATTGTCAACAATGTATATAGATAGTATTAGAGCTTAGCGTGATTTTCTAAAAAGTTTATAACGTAAAAAAAAGATGTTTTTGAGAAAGATTTTTCTGTATGTGTATATACTTACAATTTCGCCAAATTTTGTAGTTTTTTGAAGATACCATTAGCCTTTATTTTAGGGATTACATTGTTATTCAATCGTCTGAAAAAGAACAAATACATCCAATGTAATAACATTTAATTCCTTGTTAAAACAAGTTTAATACTAAAATATGAAAACAAGTGAAATTATTTTAAAGGAAATTTCTGTATTGTTGACGCCACTTTGATGAAACGTTTTTGAAATGTTCTATTATTTATTCTCTTTTAAATAAACAGACTTTTTGCAATAAAAATGAAAATTAAAGAGATTTTCAGAAATAAATTCTGTATTCCTTTAAAAAAAATATCTGGATTCAAAACAATTTTATACGCAATACTAGAAGAACAGTAAAAGTCTCTTATAACGATGATTAAAGAATATCAGATAAGATTGTCGTTATAGCGAGCTTGTCGTTTTAAGCTAATACACATATTTAATGTTTAAATAGCAAAAAAAGTTATTATACTCTAGTACTAGAGTGTAGTAACTTTTTAAGTCATTGATAACTCTGAATGGTTATTTCAATAAATAGTCAAGAAGAGAAATAAGGGGCATGGTAAATATTGGGTTATCAATAGGAAGTGTTAAACAGGATTCTTAAAAATTATAATTTTTCTTCTTTTGTAACCAAAAATACTTAGCCGGTAGTCGCTCACGCATCTTTGCTCTACAAACATAAATAATTAAGTTTGTAAGTATGTTAAGTTGTTAAGTATGTCTGTTTTTCCTCTTTATGTATTGATATAAGTAAAAAATGTCTCCTATTTTGCCATTTTTCGTATAACATTGCCAACTTAAACATAAACATTAGAAAAGTCTTATTCCTTCAAAAGAATTTGAAGTAATAGTAGAGGGCTATTTTTTTAAACCGGTTATAACTTTTGTATCTAACTATAATATTATAACTTTTTGTTGTAACATTTGTCATAACTTTTTGTATCTATATTATCATTATGAGGTAAACTTAAACATCAGACTTCTTGTAATATGCATTATATCGAAATTTTTCTGTAGCTCCGAAAAAAATTGCTAACTTAAAATTTTTGCATCGAAGGTTGTCAAAATACCAAAATGGGGAAGCCATCCCCTTTGCAGAAAATCAAAATTGCAATGGCAAACTTCAGGGATGTTTCCAAAGAGTCGCCAATATCCCATAGTGCATCTTTAGAAACGAAGTATTAAAAAGTGAAGTACGACTACTAACTCAAAATGAATCGATATTACTCTTTTCATGAAATACATTTTGTAATATAGAATGAAAAATCTATAAAAATTATTTGTGCCACAACTTACAGTTCAGTGGTAAAAGATGGTATATTTTCAGGTATATCTCTTAATCGCTTTCCTGAACAATCCACCATTGTCCCTTCACATACGCAAGGATCAGGGCAGTCATGAACAGATGCGCATTCACCAGCTCCTCTTGTGCGATACGCTTCCGTACCTGGAACAGAAACCTTAAATTGTAAACAAATCTCAATTTTCATGAGGTAAAAAAGGAAAATTGCATAAGTCAATCATAGTGACAATTCAGATGAAATTATCGTTATACACTGTTTAAATTTCCCTTCTAAAATTACGGTAAAATGACGGGTAGCAGTCTGTGCAACTAATTAACACGTTGAATGCCACGCTTATTTTACATGGCTTGCCCGTCTGCCAAAATGATTTTCTCAGTATGGATTGCATTAATTTCTTCAAACCATTTTAGTAACGATAATAATATTTAAAAAAATTAAAAGCATTTAAAAATGTATTCGAATTATGTGTTCCTAATAATCTTGGCTTCGCCAGTAACCGGTGACCACCGTGGCGCTACGATCAAACTCAGTGCCGATCACCGGTGACCCCCATGGCATTCAACGTGTTAACCATAAAGTTTAAGTAAGGAACATTTTTACCTTTCAGGTTTTGAAATCGTTTACAACTAGTATTGATAAAATACCATGAATACAAAACTATACGTTTTTTTTAACCATTTAGAACTAGCATGGTTTCAAAACCATAAGAAAGAAATTAAGTGCACATTGGAGCTAGGTTTTTCGTTAGGTAATGGGCATCGAAGTTAGGTTGTGTTTTGTCAAATGAACCGTGGAAAGTGGTTTAATTAGTTTTTCTGGTTGTTTCACCTGTCGAAGGAGATGGGAAATAATAGACTTTTTTTTGTTAAGCAGTTTTATGTGGCGCTGCTATCTATGCGTGAATGAGAGTATCATATTGTAATATTCCAGGGTCATACATTGGGGAGTCCAAGACACTGAAAACTCTTCATGTCTAGAAGGGAATGGAGGACTTAGCGATTATTCTGCCACAGATCACACGATATGGAAATCTTCCCTTAACCCACATTTGCATTACACGGAGAAAAAAACCACGAAGTCATTTACATTAGCACTGTGGTCGATGCGATCTGGGAGCAATATTCGTATCAAATAGCCATCGATTGGATTCATACCTGGGTTCACTTTATTGGGAGGCGAAAGTTCTATCCCCTGTGCCACCGCTGCTCTAGAAAGATGTGTAGATATATGAAAAATACGTGGTAAACAAAAGGTGCATTCGTTTGGAGACCTCATCAGGAATTTTAAAAATAGCTAAAGAACTCTTTTTTTGTTGTTGTTGTTGTTGTTTACATTGCACTAGGTAGATATGTGGCCATTAGCGATATTCTCGAATTAATTTTCAATGATGATCCGAAAATATGTTTTGCATTCTTCTGGCAAATATGCAACCTATACTTATATCCAAGGGTAATTACTACCATTATTTGAACTAAAGAACAGACGGTGGTGTTAACTACCCGGCCTCCGCACCACGTTCTAAAACCACCCAAATTTTTTCAAATCTGAATTCGTCGAAGATGTTACATTAAAAGTGGATACTAAACCACTAAAATATGATCGTAATAAGTGCAGTCCAATTGCCCACCCTAACTGTAAGCAGGGGAATCAAACCCAAGGCATGGTGGGCGAAAACTTTACCCGCCACTTTGACAGAATGGCAACCTCTAGCAATCTATAATTTAAAGATGAAATAATAGATATCATAAAATTACCTGAGCTGTTTTGTATACATATAACTGGGCACAACTTGAGATCAAATTTATTCTATTATAACTTAAGAAACAATTTGACAGGTTCTAAAGAAACAACAAGAAATACAGAAAAAATTGGAAACCAACAGATTCCTAGACAATCTTTTAACAATCAAAATATGTTAGGAGGATTAATTTCGCGCAGGGGATTTACCTTGTTAAAACATTCTACTACTACTAGTATTGGATGATAGAGCAATCCGCTTTATAGATGCTTAACATTCTAACTAGAGATCAGTAAGATTAAGTCTTGAAATGATGTTCCAAACTTTCTTAATCTTCGCAGCCATTATCCTTTGATGAAAGATGTTCTAATTAGTCTTCTACTAATTAGGTAAGAACAACTTTTAAGAGGATTACAGCAATAAAGATAATTTTTCCTCTTATTTCCGATTCATTTCATGCTTCTAGATATAAAGCGGTAATTACATAAACTTGTCACTAACAAAAATGCTGCTGACGAATGATTTCGTATTAGTTTTGATCTATGTATAGATTTCTCTTATGTGGTGCCATAAACTCAGGTATTACTCTATCTATTGGCAACACTATAATTATTATTCGTTTCATTAGGTTATCTTGAGTAATAAATTTATGTAGTGTTAAATAGTCATACGCTAATTATTTTTGTTAGGCTGTCTTAAGAAATAATTAAGGTAGTGTTGAATAGTTTGTTATACGTTAAGTATTTATTTAGAATAATTCGGTATTTTTATAAAAATGCAATTGGTGCATTTTTATACTTAATTCCGAAGTAGTATACATAGTTACGAAGTAGTATACATAGTTACGAAGTAATTATTTAGATTTATTATTGGTTATCTTAAAATGGTTGTAGAAATTCTAAACACACACGATGCTATGGCGCCGCATACTGTCATACCAATTACTGGTGACGGAACTTGCCTTTTTCGAACAATAACTAGATATAGAACCGTGGTGGCTCAGGGGATAGAGCGCTCGCCTCCCAATGAGGTGACCCGGGTTCGATCCCAGCGATAGCTGGTCGATTCGGATTCCGCACCCGGTTCGCACCGGCGTAAAATATACTCAGTGGCGGACGGATAATGGGTTAGAGTCCCCTAGCGTCATGCTAACCATAAAAGGTTTTTGTAGTTATTTCTCCATGTAACGCAAATGCGGGTTAGTTGCATCAAAAAGTCTTTCACGAAAGCAAATTTCCCTCAATACTTATGAAAAAGGGTATTTAAAATTTCGAAAGCTTTTTTCATCTATATGCGCGTCTACATATATAGAAGGGATAATATTTTTCTTATTTATATGATTTTAAACTTATTTTAAGAAAATATTATTGCATATACATGCATTTGAATTATGTAAAATATAACAAAACTGATTTATTTGAGAACTTACATTCTTCTTCAATCATAATTTTTCATTTTCTTAATTGTACAAGGAACATATTAAAGGCAAGATATATGAGCTAAATAATAAAATTATGAGAGAAGCAAAGCAGTAACTACAAAATACTAAATACAACCACTTCAGTAACTACAGCCAGCTAATCTGCTACGATATGCATGAAAGTAGTATTCTTTATCTCTGCCATTTTCGGTTTTCTACTTTATCGAGTCTTTAATTCTTAGTGTATGTTACTACAACCTACTTTGAGTATCTATAATGCAGTTAAACAATTCCAGAAGCCATAAATATTTTCATGGTGGCCCACCACTGCCAAAATCTACATCTGCATTACCTCGAAATTTACATTTGTGAATATGTTACCACTGGAAAATATTAATACGCACATTACCTAGATTTTCTGCAGAATAACTAGGGTAATTCGCACATTACCTAGATTTTCTGCAGAATAACTAGGGTAATTCGCACATTACCTAAATTTCCCGCAGAATATCTAGGGTAATTCGCACATTACCTAGACTTCCGGCAAGAATGACTAGGGTAATTCCTTAAAATGCGGAATCAAGTGTTTCCGCCGTCAATCTAGGTAATTTGTGCTTTAACGGTTTTCATATCGTTAAAGTTCAAATGTTTGTTTCTCTCATTCTGTAGTTAATTTGTTGATTATTTAATTGGGTACTTGCAATTCGAGAAGAAATAATGTTATTATGTATAACTGCGTGATTCAAATTATATTTAATTTGACCTGATCAGATTTAATCTGTAAGCGATGTCTACGCGTGTGTGTCGAGCCTGAATGGCTTCTGAATCGTCACATGTCACGATCTACCTACGATGACGTCACTTGCTGGTATCCAATTGAAATGACTTGATTTTTTCAAAACTGAAAAATAAATAAATGATATTATTTTAGTTTCCTTAATTGTACCGATATTTTAAACCTTTTGAATTTTTGAATTTTATTTTCCTCCCTATCAACTAATATTTTGATTGTAGTAGCTTTATTTTTCACACAGCGAAAAATAAATGAATAACATTATGTGAATTTAAGTGAATTGAACCGTTGTTGTTGTTCCAGCATATATCTTATTTACTTTTTAATAAACGCCTAGTCGTTAATTTGCAGATTATATAGGTAGTTTGCAGATTACCTAAGTATTTGAGAAATTAAAATTTTTTTTAAGCACTTTAACGGATTACCCTAGATAATTAGCAGAATAACTGATTTTTACCTAACAAATATACTGCGCTCTTTCTTAGAACGGCAGTAATATAGACCTTCAATCTTATTATATTTGTTGGAACTTACACTCTTTCTTTTATAATGGCATTTTGAGATAATTCAAGTCTTCAATTTTCTGTTAATTCGATCTATTAAGAACATTTTTTTAGGTTTAACTCACTACAGCCAAAAGTTACAAAAATTGATGTTCCACCACCAAAAATACGAAATGTACCTTTACATTTGTATTTAGTCTCTCGCATTTGACTAATCCGTCGACGGTGCATCCTTCGTGGAGTTTCGCATCTAGCACCACTGGTTTCGATCGGATTGGCATGCAAATATTCTGCCAACCATCGCAGATTACAGTCACATATAAAAGGATTTCTCGCCAAATGTCTGTAAGAGAAAACAAAAATTGATTAATCATACGAAATGAAAGAAAAAATTATATTTATTGCATTAAGAAAGTTTAAGTTTTATTACTATTTTACATTTTATAGCTGGCGATGGACAGCAGAATTAATTCTGAGTTTATGACAAACAATGTTCAATTCCATAGCCTTGTAATTTTAAACCCAACTCAGAAAACAAAAGGACTGGACAAGCATTGGAACATGCTATCCTTCATGGAGGACTTTTTGATGGAATTAACCCGCATCTGTGTTACACGGAAAGAATACCACGAAAACATCCCACGGTTATCCCGATGGCAAAGAAATTCCAACTCATAACTCAACTAGGATATTTTTCGTCATAACTAGCCGGAAGCAGAATTCGTATCAACCAGCCTCCACTGGGAATTGAACTGAACAGCAGACCCAATTATGAGTTTATGATTAACATGTTCAATTCCATAGCCTTATAATTTAAAACCCAACCCAGAAGACAAAGGAACTTTCGGATCAAGCAATAGAACAAACTAGTGTTCATGGAGGATTTTTTTGATGGAACTAACCAACATTTGTGTTATACGGAAAGGAAAACCACGGAAACCTCCCACGGTTAGCCCGATGGCAAGGAAATTCTAACTCATGACTCTACTAGAATATTTTTCGTCATCAGAGTTGTTGGTGCGAGTCGGAGGCAGAATTCGTTTCAACCAGCCTCCGTTGGGATTTGAACTTGGGTTACCTCATTTGGAGGTATACGCTCTTTTCCCTGAGCAACAACAGCCCAAGTTTCATTATTAGAAGGGATTATTGAAAAAAAAGATATGTTTTAAACCGCAATTTCGACAACGACTTAAGAGGCTTCACATAGCTAAAACAAGTTTAAAGCTTAACCATAATATCAGTACCTGAACCATACTCAGCAATCATAATACGATATTAAATTGAAGCATTTTTTTTTAACCCAAGTTGAGTTATAGCATGTACAATGTTATGGATCAACTTAGCACCATATTCGAGACTGAAGGAAATTTGAACGATATTATGGTACAAAAAGCTTAAAAATTTTTATGTCAGTTTAACAAAACGAAAACAGCTTTGTTTATTTGATGGCGTAGTGAATTGAAATTAAACTAAAAATTTAAGATCATTTTAAAAAGCAGCACATCAAGTTCAAGTTTGAAATACATAATTGAGAATTTGTTTACACATTTTCAATTGTGCACTTGCAATGTGTGGCAGAAACTTCGATTCAAATTAGATAATGTGTCATTCAAAAATGTGGCAAATTTAGTAGCAGATTTTGATTTTTGGAATTAGTAAATAACGCTTTCCTTTTAGCATTTGAGCAGATTTTTGGGCTTTTTTTTTTGATTGAGTGATTTTTAAAGGAAATTTCTGGTCTGCGATGAGAAAAATACAATTTTACCAATTCAGTAAACGTTTAGGGTAAATATTGCAGAAAAAAGTAGCCTCTGCAGTACTATCCAACTTCTACTATACAGCTGTCTATTAACTACTATTTAACTTGTACTATACTGTACTGGGATATAAATTAATATCAATTGAGGGTCATAGCAGCTTTCTTCTCATCCTCTATGACATGACGATCGTTTCTTTTTATGTACGTAAATATTGAATTTACATAAAAGTAACTGCTCTTTTTCATGCTAATACATTTTACCCTAAATTCTCAGTGATGTTTTTCATTTAAAATGTTTCAGTCGATAATTCTCACGCAGTTAGAATAACCAAGGCTTAAAAACCGAATAAATTACTTAACCCATCCTGTATTTAGTTAAAAGCAAATATATATTATTTTTAAAAATATACGTAAAAAGGCTCAAATGTGTAAGCACATTTCACCATTAAATTTAATTAAGGCTACATTTCTTGACAACTACATTTGTACAAAAATTTAACTAATTAAAAAAAAGAATTGTTCTTGTTACTATTCTGTAAACTTTCAAAAGACATAGTTAAACCACTTTAAGCTGACAAAAATTACAAAGATACGTGTAGTGTAATTTTAGAGCCCAAACATTGTGCTTCTAATTCATTTTATTCTCTGTAGAATTAATTGAAGCGTTTCTTAGAATTTACGAATTTCTAATTAAGCAGCTCGAAGAAAGGAAATAGTTAACGAAGTAGTTTCAAAAGTTTCTTTGGTTTAAGAATAAAAAAATATACTTCTCTATTAGTAAAAACATTTTATGAAGCTAAAGTAGTTTTTATTTTAATGGATTTTCTAGATTTATCGAAGGAAAACTACATCTTTCTAAAAAATAAATCCATGATTTTCTAACTATCTATCCATTATATAACCGGATTTGAACAGTTGGACCAATTCTGAGTATATGACTAACAATGTTCAACTTCGAAGACTTGTAATTTTGAATCACAACCAGAAGACAATGAGCTCTTGAATCAAGCATTGGGACAAACAAGCGTTTAAGGAGGACTTTTTAATGGAACTAACCAGTATTTGCGTACCATGGAGACGAAAATAGTGAAAATCTACCATGGATAGCCCGAAGATAAGGGAATTCTACCCCATGATCCGTCAACCACTGTGGTGCGAACCAGGCGCGAAAGTCATATCAATAAACCACGGTTGGGATTCTAACCTGGGTCACCTCATAAGGAGGAGAACTCCCTATACCCCGAGCCTCCACGACTCTTATCAATCAATTAAAAATATGTGTGATAATATAGTTTTTTTTTTTACCAAGATCTATTTTTATATCACTCTGTATTAAAAAAATCGAGAGGACTGCCCACGCCGTTCCTGTTTTGGGTGCTCACGCTAACGTTATAATTTGTCCCACTGCGTAAAAACTATGAGACATAGAAACTTAGCCGTTAGGCTAACCGTAGGAGGTTTTCGTGGTTTTTACTCTGCATGTAAATGCGATTTCGTTCCATCAAAAAGTTCTCAACGAAGGCAAAATTCTTCCAATACTTGATTCAGGAGTTTCCTTGTCTTCCGGATTGGGTTCAAAATTACAAGGCTACGGAATTGAACATTTAGTACTCGTAAACCCAAAAAGTTGGGTTGGCTGTTCAACGACGGTTGTAAAATAAAATAGAATTACTAAAGTGCATAGAAAAGTGTACAAGGATTAAGATTATTTGCGGCCCGGGAGGAAGTAATTCGCGCTGACGAAATGCATGAGTTCAAGGAAGGCGTTCTGTATGGTCCAGGTGTCGCCAATTGATGGTCAGTTCCCCCTCCCACAAAACGGAGAAAAACTTTTAATACTATCTCCAAAAATTATTCTTTTTTCTTATTCTTTTTTTTTTGACGTTTGGATTGCAAAAAAAAAAAAAAAAAATACTCGATCGATTTTGATGTTAATTTAGAAATTTTGTAGATAATTCATGTGGCTATGGTTGAAACCAACAAAAATCGAACATTTCCCAAAATTTCGAAACTTTTGTGTATGCTTAAATGTCAAAAAAGTCAATTTTTGGTTACTTTTTTCCAAATGGCCACCATTTTGTGGAAAAATGACATTTTTTTTATTGTTTTGGTTCGAACCATAGCTATTCTCATACATAATCTTTAATTTTTGATCCCGTCTGTTCAGACTATACAGTACAGAGATAGATCTACAACCGTCGATCAATTCTCGGCGTGCACTGTCATAATTTTTTATATGTTAATTTACAACTACTATTTCGGATTTGAAGAATTTGAAATGTTGCTGAAAGGAGACAAAATGAAACCATGAAATCAATATATAATTTCATGGCACCGAAAAAAATATTAAAAATGAGGTTTATATCAGACTTATCTCAAACCCAGAAAACAACCTTAATATACCATGTTCTGAACACCATCCAAATAACTTAAAAATGAATTTGTTTGAAAATTTGCTTTAGTAACTTGTATCATCTATGTATCAAATCAGAGCACTAGGAAAGATGCTGCAATTAATTCTTAACCAACACCCAGTTACCAACCCCCCACACTCTACTGTATCACCTTACTTCGAACGACTTGTTTCTTTATGCAACAGTCAACTGCTAAATGCAACACCTTCCACCCCTCTCACGTCACAGTTAATTACTGAAACTGTAAACCGCGAATCGTGCTAGAAACACCCTCACAAGAATGGCAGGGTGAGCGATACCCTATCTTGACGGCACAGGAGGCCAGGATTATTATTAATAGCTCACGCTTAATTAAAAGGAACTTTGAGAGCGAAGACTCGATTTCGAAAGCCATCGTTCATACGTGGAAGCGGTGAAGTTCGATATGTTAAATCTCAGTTATAACGCATACATCTACAGGTGGGGGGAACAGAGAAAATGGTGGTATTAAAACTGTAATTTCCTGCGGAAAATTTGGAAAGCGATATAACTGCTTTTGCAAGACTTGTTCTAATTTTGAACAAATTGTGTTTCCGTTTTTACTTTCAAATGCTCGTAAAAATTATGTAAAGAGGATTTTAGGATATATTGTTATGGATAATGTTTTAACCTATTCAGTAAAATGCAGTTGGACCTCTATTTAACGAAGTCACTAAACCCCGATGAAAAGTTCGTCATATGGAAAATTCGTTGAATAGAAAATCACCATTTACATAAACAACACAAAACAGGTTTTAAATTCATAAACACTGGACATAATTAAAATTGCAATTGATACACCTTTATCTTGTAAATTATTATCGACTATTGAATTGTTTCAATTGATTTCTTCATCATTTCTGTCTTCTTTGTCTTCATCCCAATTTATTGCTGTATTGTTTTTATTTTTCACACTGTCTAAATTATCCGATTCTGCTAATGTTTCTGTGGTTGCAGCTTCAGAATCAATAAAAAGAAAATCATTAATCAGTACATCATCGTTAAGTTCTTCTAAAGGAATATCATCCTTGTCCTCCGTGCTGACTAAGAATCCAGGATTAGCAAAACTGTTACGAATGGTACGATCTGTAACATCATAGTTCCATGCTTCAGAAAATTCTGCTATGCTTTCTCGCAAATTGATTTTTGGCATGAATTTCTGTATGAAAT